CGGACACCCGTGAGGGGCCCACCCAACCGACCCGGGAGGCCATCGGCCGCCTCCAAGGCCGCCGCCAAGACATTGCTGGCAACACATCCGCCGCCGCAGACCACCATCGAGACCATCGACGCCCGCAACAGACAGTTGATCGTCGAGTCGATACTCAATTGTATCCAATATTTCGACCAACACTTCAAATACAACTATAAATTTGGTAATTGTTTGGCCATTAGTTTGATGGCAAAGAGTTTGGTGATATCACCGAAACAATTGATCCAACAGTTGATTGTAGGGAGCGGATTGTGTCACCCAATGGTGTATGAGTGGTGTCAATGGGTTTCCCCTGTAATCGTTTGTTTGTATTAATTGTTTGTGACATTTTTAATTAAGATTTTTTTGTGTGTATTTTAAGTGAAATTAATTTTGATTTTATTGTTATTTATCGCCAACTGTTTAGTGGTTTTAAAAACGGACGACAAGTTAACCAAAATCCAGAAATGGCTTCAAAACTATTACGCCAAAGAGTTTTTAGATGACATCGACTTCAGTGTTATCGTCAAAGAAGCCGTCAAACAAGAGTTGAATACAATTAGTGATAATAGTATTGTGGATGAAATTGTGAATAAGATTACGTCTAATGATAATAATACAGACATTACGGAAATCAGTGACAATCGTAACGATACTAATGGAGATAATATGCAGCAAATGCTGTCCGAAACGGATGCACATCCCGCACAAGACATGCCATCACTTGAACCCATCATCGATTCAAACGCATCATTAGAAACACCGCCCGAAAGCCAACCCCCAGACGACCCCGACCTGACCCCTAGTGAACCCCTCGACACGAGTGATCCCAACCCCACGGCCACCGCCGCCGCCGACTATGCAATCAAATCAAATGCAATGGAAAGTCAGACAATATGTGAACCAATAATAGACAAAGAATTAGAAGAAAAAATTGTATATAATTTAGAGTTAATACTACTGTTAGTTGTGATCGTGTTATACAAAGTCCGCAATTTGTTCCCAAAACTCTTGGATTATCTGGACTTCGCGTGGATCTACTTGTCTGAGTTCGAGTCGCGTCTGGAGTCGGAAATCCGGGTCCAGAATCTGATCGAACTCTTGCAGAGCGAGTTCACGAGCCAGAGGTCTGCGAACAGATCCCGGGCCGAGGTGTTGACCAATGAGATCATCCAATTGAACGCAATGATCGACAATCTGGACAAACAGTACCAGGAGGAGACCAAAGAACTCATTTACCTGCAAACCGCCGCAATCATCGGCCACAACAACACCAGTGCTAACTGTCGCCAGTTGTCTAAGATTATGAACATTAAGACAGGAGGTGCGGGCCGGGAGGCCAAACTGTACTCGTGCCCCGAATGCGGCAAAAACTTCAAGAATGGCTATAAACTCAATCGACACCGTTATGTGCATAAAGACCCGTCCGAGAAGCCATACATGTGCGACTGTAAGGCACACTACTGTCCCCTTTCTGTTCATTGTTTAAACTCATTTGTAAACAAATGACTGAGGTCCCGGCCCTACACCGATAGCAAGGTATCGATTGTTGCTAGAGTTAGCCGTGGCATACTAGGTGTGCCCTCTCTTCGGGATAGTCACTCATAAACAAACGAAAAATCAGAGTTTTTTTTGTTTCTCAACTCTTATAAGCGAAGTCTCAACTATTTTCTACTCTTTTTCTGTCTTAACATTTAGTTTTAGAAGTATTTATCAATTCATTCAATGAATTGGATTTTTAAATACGATATTGTATTTTGCGATCGATTGCAGTACTTGTCAAATGAAAACATTTTCTTTTTTGAGAATTTTATTTCTGAATTTTATCTAAAAAATGATATTAAAGTGAAATTAAAGCGAAAGTTTGTGTAAAAGACGGTCACAAACGATAGGCACGAAAACGACAGTCAAATAAGGGTATGTTTGGGGATTATGGGCGCGGTGATTTGCGGCCAATTTGTTGAGGACCAGGTGAGTACGCATCTCTAAACGTAATTAAACAAAACTAAAATACGAACAAAAAATTAAAGGTACAGCTATGCTATCATAAACTAATGCACGAATAGTTTTTCATACAGTATATAACGAATTGAAACACATTTTATAATTGATTTCCAAACCAAAAGCCAATCACTGATTATTGTGTTTGAACCCAATGTTTGTAGAGTTGAAAGTTCAGCCGCAGCTCCAACTCCACAAAACACAGTGTTTGCACTCGACTCCGGTCCGCAGCACTCGGTGCCCACTCCTCCGTCTCCGATCCAACTCCAAGACAATATATTTGACTCCAAAACCGATTGATTCACTCTTTTTCTTATGATTTCTATTTTTATTTGTTTAAATCATGTGAATTGTATTGATTTTTCCCGAGACTCCAGTCCCCCCTCCGCCTATCTCTCAACGAATCGCAAACCCTCAAACGCAACGAAAAGTTTGTGTGAAAAAATTACATCACAAATTACTTTAGGGCATAATAAAAATTAATAAAAAAATGTTATAAAATTAAAAGACACAGATCATTTGAATTTAAAATTCAACAATTTGTACTCTAATATAAAACACTTTCATTTTCTTATATTAATATAACTGTCATTTACATGTGTTTCTAAAAAAAATAAAATAAAATGTTTTTAATATAAGAGTTTAAACCGTAATTAATATGAATTAACTTGTGATCTATATTTTGTCCGCATATTATCACTGAAATGTGTGCCAATCACCGCAAACTCCAGGTGCGATCAAGAGGGCTGCGAACGCAAGTACTCGCGACCCGACAAACTGAGTCACCATAAGAGGGTCGCCCACAACAAGGACCCCGTGAACAAACCGTTCGCGTGCGATTGGCCCGGCTGTGGGTACCGGAGCTTAGCCAACGCCGACCTACTGCGGCACCAATACATACACACAGGGGAGCGGCCCTACAAATGCGATTACGGCGGTTGCGATAAAGCCTTTTCACGGCCCGACAAACTCCGCAACCATAAGGACAAGTCGAGGCATAACGTGGATGAGTTGCTGTCGTTGGACGCCATTACCGCCGCGGCCACCGCCATAGACACCTCCACTTCCGATATCAGCCCTTCCACTGCGATTTCAATCGCCGATTGTGTTCCTCAAGCCATCCAATGGTCGTGAAAATTGTATGACAAATGTATTCATTATTTTCTGTTTTTTCACTTTATTTCTCTAACTTTACCCATCGGTTAGTGTTTTTTATAGATTATATTAGAATTTATATTAAATCTGAGTTTGTTATGAAATCATTTTTAGATTTTTTTGATGAGAGAAATCGTTATGTTTTCATTAAAACTTTGAAATCAGATTTCGTTTAGTTTTTGTTTTTTCTGTTCAAATCTTTAATCGCATTAAAAGTAACATTAATTAATTTATTATATATTTTGTGTTTCTTGTTGTGTGGAAAATCATGTTTATATAAGAATTGAATCGCTTTTGAATATGATTAAAGAGTTATGACTCCGATTTTGACTGACTGTCTGAGTGTTTAAATTACTTATACCGGTATTAATATATTGAAAACTATTTGAATTTGGCATTAAAAGTATGGGATAACATACGTGTTTTAAAACTAAATTAGGAAAATGCGAAATCACTAGAAATATGTTTTACAAAACTTATTAACGAATTCCTATCAAATATTTCCTAATATATGAATGAAATGAGTTGTTAACAGTTACTTATAAGTGGTATTTGATTACAGAATCGGTGTATAAATACAGCAGTAAATGAATTTCTTAATCATTATCACTATTAGTTTACTAACGGACGTCATAATTGACGTGAAAACGTAAAGATTTAATAAAATTCTGTACTAATTAAGGAATATTTTTAAAAATGCAATTAAGTTTTCACTGAATTACGAGTTGAAAACCTATTATTTCATAACTAGATTTTTTCGACTAATATTTTTTTACACATGCTTTTCAATAGACTTTTATATGAAAATACTTTTTCATTGTGCAAACGCTTTAGAATTTCAAATAATAGACGAGTTTTTTTTGAAACTATGAAAGAATTTGTTGTTTGCGACCAAAAAAATGCAAAATCAAAACAAAAGATTTTTCGACTGAATTGTGAGCACAAAAATTGATGAGATTTTAATTGCTCTCGCATTGTATGAAGCGATCAAACACTGTATGCGTGGTTCACAAGAAGCTCACAGAAAAGAGGCATTAATTTTCTCTTGTTTTTTTGTCATACATTTTAGATGCGGTTTATTATATAATATATAACACATGTGTTGGCAAATCATTTATTATTGAGTGCTAGATCTTAGGAGAAACCGTATGGACTCTCGTATTATCCAGTAGTCAGGAGTTTGCAAAACGTGATATACTTTTGTAAGGCTTTCTTCTCAGATCTCTCTCTCTCTCTCTCTCTCGTCCTTCCTTATGAACTAATTGTTTATCTGATCTAATATTTAAATAAATGGAAATAATTTTCATACATTTTTCACATAATCTAACGGAATAATTTGAAACTATTGCAAACATTAATTTATGAGCTTTTGTTTGCAAAGAATTTTAATGAATTGTTTTCTCAATTGTTTGTATTTATACAGTAGTTGTGAACTTATTTCTGAAATATAATTCCCTATATTTACCGATCGATTAATTTGTTTTCTATCCATAAATAGGTTTTTATATATTTATTTTTTAATGATTTTTAGCGCATATGTTTCAATATATTTCATGTTTTATTTGTAATAGTGTTGAAAAAGCCGATGATTGCACAGAATCTGAATATAAGGGATGTATTCATATGTATGAATATTTTATACATGTATTTCTATTGAATATTATTTTCATTGAAATTTCTGACTATTTTATTTTATGCATTTTAATTCAATTATGAATTATTTGCTGTAAATAATAAAAAGCAAATGTAAACTCCCAGTGCTAAAAAACATACAGTGCTATTGCTGTACTGTATATCCTGTGCCTTTATAAGTGAACAACACTTGGAACACATAATAAAATCTTGTGATCTAAATATCCATACGATTGCTATAATTACTCGAGTTTTTCCACAAATATTTAATGGATTTATAGGTATATTAATATGTAGTGAGAGAAACGTAATTATAATTATAGACCGCTATTAGAAACACTCGTGATTTACGTGTATTTCTATATACAATATGTATCCAATTGAGTCTCTCTCTCTCTCTCTCTCTCTCTCTCTCTCGTTCCTAAAATAGCAACTAAATTAAACCCATAAGTAATTGGATTGACTTTAATTCAGTGATATATTTATGAATGTTTCTCTTCTCTCCCATAAATCCTTTTGGCAATTAATGTCCAAAAATGGTTATCATTTGAGCGGAACTCCAATTTTATGAGGACCAGTATGTATGCACTCGCTATCGATGTGACCCAAATTGGCAAACTTGTTAATGGCAAACTTGTGGCTACAAGTTAGGGAAAATAAAATGACCAAGTAATCCCTTAAATTAAGCTTTCATCAATAATACTCATTGAATATTATGGCCCCTTTAATATACATACAATGAGTGACTATATAAAATAATGACCTGATTAATTAACATTTTTTATGAAAAATGAATTTTTATGTAACTAATCAGGGTTTTTACTGAAACAGGTTTCCATATCATACGTTAGACTGATTTGTAAATAAAAACAAAAACTGTTCATAATATTTATATTATAATATAAATTAAATATTAATAAAAAAAATTATTATTATATTGTCGTTATTTATATCTAATTTGTATTTTGCAAAAAACTATATCAGTTAAAAATAAATTCAAAAAAGTTTTTTCCCTAAATAGCCACAAATTTCTGAGTATGGACCCAATATCTCCCTTTCCACTACTCACTCATTCAATTCATTCATTCATACGGTTTGTTCGCTATATACTTGTCACTCATTTCAAGCCAATAGTACCGCACATATCGTGCCGTAAAAGTTGTCTGAATAGGACTCGCAATCATAAATGAAACACAAATCAAATCGATTGACACATAAGTTATTAATATTTAATATTGACTATACTTTTATGACTTATTGATTGTTTACTTTTAAGTTTGTAAATAAAATATATGTTTTCCTTCAAACACAACCCATTAAGAAGTGAATAGTAATCGAAAGGAAATGAAAAATCAATTCTCAAACACAAACACTTCATATGTGGACACAATTTACAAATAGAAAAGTTTCTCTCTCTCTCTCTCTCTCTCTCTCTCTCTTTCGCCAAACCACAAATCCGTATATAAGTTTAGGGACACATCGAGATTGTGATAGGAATGTAACGATTGAATCAAAAATATTTTATAAGCGAAAGTATAAATTCATTCCCGTTTTTACAAAATCTGGTTTTAATTTTTGCTTTTTCCACTCATTAGTTGTCTGCTTACAAAAAAAAGTTGCAAAATTTGCACTCGTATTTAAAATAGCTAATTTATTATACATTTGTATTTTACATATTCATAAAATATTTTCTTATTTTTTCACAAAAAATGCATTAAATTATACACAAAAAAGACATACGAATAAATTAGATATAAAAACAACATTTAAAATGCTTTTAACGTTGAGAGAGAGAGAGAGAGAGAGAGATGATAGTCATAATAATTTGGTCTTGTATAATGTTTTTTATTGCAATATTTCGGACAAACATACTCTCGAATTACACACTAATGGACTCATTACTATAGTTGATAGACACAAAAAAATATCCCACTTTTTTCATTGTCTTAATTACCAACAAAATAGGTGACTATTAGACTTATATAAAACTCCCCGGAATTCACTCAAGGAATATAATATTGAAAATTATCCCAATTTTTTTTGCTTTCGGTGTCAACACAATAGCAAAAAGGGGTCAGAATTTCACACAAAGAATAGAAGAGGAAAAAGAAGTTTATCGGTGAGAGGAAGTCCTTCACAGAGTGAGAGGTACCCCCTGAGAACACCCTAACCTCCATGTGCTAACCGTCTGGCCTTCCCTGTCGTCGTATAGATATTACAACACAAAGACATTTATTGAATGAAATATTGAAAAGTATATTTGATTTAGAAATCTCTCTCTCTCTCTCTCTCGACAGAGACAAAGAGTTAGTGCTTTTTTGTGTGTATTTTATGATACGTTGAGTACTGAATATGAGTGCAAAAACACAGAATACATATATCTTTGAAGAATGGATTATTATTGCGAAGAGTTGGAGAAAACTTTATTGCTTTGTCATTGAGATTACACATACAATAACTTACAAGTGTTTTTGTGTGAGAATTATAAGCAGAAAACTATCATAAATGACTCAAAAGAATATCTGTATATGGTTTTCACTTACAGACAACAAAATCGGTGTTTAAATGTTAGGAAAGAAAATTACGAATACTATAAACGATA